CATGTTAATGCAAGTCTGCTCTTTACTTGGCTCCATCTTGTTTTGGATTTTATCATCCCATGCCTGCATTAACTTTGCTTCAAGATTCACCATCCTTTAACTGCATAAAGTTTGAACTATTCCAATGGAAGACCACACTTTCTACATCCCAGTAAGGTGTTCTTAGGGATGGGCTTTGAGTGAGGAGAAGGCCTTAGGGCAGGGGCACCCACAATTTTTCGTCTGGAGATCTATTTTTGAAATGACGAGCTAAATGAGATCTACCAATGAAAAAACACTTGCATTCAGGAGCGGGAGGGGGCGTGGCGGTGCATTGAAGTCAATGGCACCACAGGCAGGCCCCTCGCCCACAGTGCGATCGCCTGCACCCGGAACCCATGCACATTAGTGCCTGCGTTCCGGTCCAGTGCAATCCACAAAAATGCTGTGAGCACTATTTTTGCAGATCGCAGGTCCAGTGCTGGCGATCGGAGCGGGTGCTGGCGATCGCACTGTGAGCAGGCGGGCATGCCTGCGGTGCCATTGACTTCAATACAACCACACACCCCTCCCGCACCTAAACGCAAGGAGTCGGCCGGCTTACATTCCAGTGCGTCCTAGAGGCCCCAGCGTCCTGTCCTCCCGTGGTGCTCATGTGGCCGACGTGGCACATGGGGAGAGGTTTCCTGCCCCTTGCCACCTTCAGTGTCTGACACATTCAGCCGGCAGCCGCACGAGTTAAATGAATGGAAAGCACAGAGGCTTCCCATTCATTCAGAAAATATTTTAGAATCATCTAGTTTCTGAATGGGGAAGAGCCTCTGTACAGAGTGCTACTGCCCATTGAGAAACTAATGAATGAACAGGAAGTGATGTAAATCACATCCTGTTCATTCATTACTGGGGACACATAGTCCTATGTGTCCCCAGTTATTTACAAACACTGGAGTGATCAGCTGATCGCTCCAGTGTTTGTCCTGCACAGAAGATTGGTACATGCCCTGAGGATTGCAGCATTTTGATTGCACCGCGCTGCAGGCACAATGTGCCTTGCGATCCCTTGTGGTCGTTCGCATTGCGGCCGGAGGGCATGGCTACGGTGCCATTCACTTCAATGGCCCACCACGCCCCCCCAGCCTGGCAAAAAAGTGAGCCAGCTGCAATGCGACAGTGCGTTCCGGCCAGAATCGGACCGGAACACACTGCTTATAGTGTGAACGAACCCTCAGTGTCGAGAATTCCTGTTTATTTATAACAGAGGTTACAGAAAAAGAGATTGAGGACTCTGTGTTCTCAATCTCTTTTTCTATTTTAAAAAGGAAATAATTTGAAAACGTTAGAAAAAAATAAGTTTCGGTTTCAGCCTGACATTTTGTTTTATTTTTGGTTTCGTTTTAGTTTTGAAAATTTCATTTTGGTGAACCTCTAGAAACAATGTCACGGAGCAGGATGAGGATCTCCTATGGAAGGGGAGACACTGGCATAAGGTCTCCTGTAGAAGGAGAGACAATGTTACAGATGGGTCTGAGGGTCTACTGTGGAAGGAGAGACAATGTGGCAGAGCTGTGTGAGGGTCTCCTGGGAAGGGAGAGACAATGTGACAGAGCAGGGTGAGGATCTCCTGTGGAGGAAGTGACTATGTGACAGAGTAGGATAAGGTTCTCCTGTGAAAGGAGAGACAATATCACAGTGCAGGGTGAGAGACAATGTAATGTGGGAAGGGCGGGGGTGGTCCTGTGGAAGGAGAAACAATGTAACAGGGGTGGGCACCTGTGGAAGGAGAGACAATGACACAGAGTGGTGTGAGGACCTCCTGTGGAAGGAAAAACAATGTGGCAAAGCAGGGTGTGGTTCCTTCATCAAGCATCACACTGTTTGCCTGATGAAGGAACCACATGCAGATTTGAAACATTGGGTTTAATTGTGAGACCATGTTTATCCATCATCAATAAAGACAGATCAATAAGGTGGAAACTGGTGTGCTGGTGACTTCTTTTTGTTTTGAGGTGGGTGAGGGTCTCCTGTGGAAGGATATTCAATGTCATAGAGCCGGGTGAGTGTCTATAGTGGAAGAAAAAACAATGTCAAAGATTCAAAGAGCAGGGTGAGTGTCTCCTTTGGAAGGAGAAACAATGTGACAGAGCAGGGTGAGTGTCTCCTGTGGAAGGAGAAACAATGTGACAGAGCAGGGTGAGTGTCTCCTGTGGAAGGAGAAACAATGTGACAGAGCAGGGTGAGTGTCTCCTGTGGAAGGAGAAACAATGTGACAGAGCAGGGTGAGGGTCTCCTGTGGAAGGAGAAACAATGTGACAGAGCAGGGTGAGGGTCTCCTTAGGAAGGAGAAACAATGTGACAGAGCAGGGTGAGGGTCTCCTTAGGAATGAGAAACAATGTGACAGAGCAGGGTGAAGGTCTCCTTAGGAAGGAGAAACAATGTGACAGAGCAGGGTTGGGGGCTCCTTAGGAATGAGAAACAATGTGACAGATCAGGGTGAAGGTCTCCTTAGGAAGGAGAAACAATGTGACAGAGCAGGGTGAGGGTATGCTGTGAAAGGAGAGGCAATGTTACAGTGTAGGATGAGGGTCTTCAATGTCACGGAGCAGGGTGAGTGTCTCCTGTGTAAGAAAAAATCAATGTCAAAGAGCAGGGTGAGTGTCCCCTGTGAGTGACGCACGGAATTTTTTTTGGAGAGAATGAGTCGTGGCCTAATTATATTTAAATAGCGCCACCCATTCATATGTAAATATCACAGTTGAGACTATTTTCAGTGGCCCCTATCTTAATTTTGGTTGCCCCTGTCTGAATGACATCCTGTGTCCGGGGTTTCTGCTGCCATAAAACCTGGACACAGCATTCAAAACCTGGACTGTCCGGGTGAATCCTGGACAGGTGGCAACCCTATCTCCTGTGGAAGGAGAGACAATATGACAAAGCAGGGAGAAGGGAATTGTGTAGAAGGAGAGACAATGTCACTGAGGTGTATGGGGATCTTCTGTGATAGGAGAGACAATGTCAGGAAGAAAGGGGACGGTCTCCTGTGGAAGGAGAGCCAATATGGCAGAGCAGGGGGAAGGGAATCTTCTGTGGTAGGAGAGACAATGTCAGGAAGAAAGGGGACGGTCTCCTGTGGAAGGAGAGCCAATATGGCAGAGCAGGGGGAAGGGAATCTTCTGTGGTAGGAGAGACAATGTCAGGAAGAAAGGGGACGGTCTCCTGTGGAAGGAGAGCCAATATGGCAGAGCAGGGGGAAGGGAATCTTCTGTGGTAGGAGAGACAATGTCAGGAAGAAAGGGGACGGTCTCCTGTGGAAGGAGAGCCAATATGGCAGAGCAGGGGGAAGGGAATCTTCTGTGGTAGGAGAGACAATGTCAGGAAGAAAGGGGACGGTCTCCTGTGGAAGGAGAGCCAATATGGCAGAGCAGGGGGAAGGGAATCTTCTGTGGTAGGAGAGACAATGTCAGGAAGAAAGGGGACGGTCTCCTGTGGAAGGAGAGCCAATATGGCAGAGCAGGGGGAAGGGAATCTTCTGTGGTAGGAGAGACAATGTCAGGAAGAAAGGGGACGGTCTCCTGTGGAAGGAGAGCCAATATGGCAGAGCAGGGGGAAGGGAATCTTCTGTGGTAGGAGAGACAATGTCAGGAAGAAAGGGGACGGTCTCCTGTGGAAGGAGAGCCAATATGGCAGAGCAGGGGGAAGGGAATCTTCTGTGGTAGGAGAGACAATGTCAGGAAGAAAGGGGACGGTCTCCTGTGGAAGGAGAGCCAATATGGCAGAGCAGGGGGAAGGGAATCTTCTGTGGTAGGAGAGACAATGTCAGGAAGAAAGGGGACGGTCTCCTGTGGAAGGAGAGCCAATATGGCAGAGCAGGGGGAAGGGAATCTTCTGTGGTAGGAGAGACAATGTCAGGAAGAAAGGGGACGGTCTCCTGTGGAAGGAGAGCCAATATGGCAGAGCAGGGGGAAGGGAATCTTCTGTGGTAGGAGAGACAATGTCAGGAAGAAAGGGGACGGTCTCCTGTGGAAGGAGAGCCAATATGGCAGAGCAGGGGGAAGGGAATCTTCTGTGGTAGGAGAGACAATGTCAGGAAGAAAGGGGACGGTCTCCTGTGGAAGGAGAGCCAATATGGCAGAGCAGGGGGAAGGGAATCTTCTGTGGTAGGAGAGACAATGTCAGGAAGAAAGGGGACGGTCTCCTGTGGAAGGAGAGCCAATATGGCAGAGCAGGGGGAAGGGAATCTTCTGTGGTAGGAGAGACAATGTCAGGAAGAAAGGGGACGGTCTCCTGTGGAAGGAGAGCCAATATGGCAGAGCAGGGGGAAGGGAATCTTCTGTGGTAGGAGAGACAATGTCAGGAAGAAAGGGGACGGTCTCCTGTGGAAGGAGAGCCAATATGGCAGAGCAGGGGGAAGGGAATCTTCTGTGGTAGGAGAGACAATGTCAGGAAGAAAGGGGACGGTCTCCTGTGGAAGGAGAGCCAATATGGCAGAGCAGGGGGAAGGGAATCTTCTGTGGTAGGAGAGACAATGTCAGGAAGAAAGGGGACGGTCTCCTGTGGAAGGAGAGCCAATATGGCAGAGCAGGGGGAAGGGAATCTTCTGTGGTAGGAGAGACAATGTCAGGAAGAAAGGGGACGGTCTCCTGTGGAAGGAGAGCCAATATGGCAGAGCAGGGGGAAGGGAATCTTCTGTGGTAGGAGAGACAATGTCAGGAAGAAAGGGGACGGTCTCCTGTGGAAGGAGAGCCAATATGGCAGAGCAGGGGGAAGGGAATCTTCTGTGGTAGGAGAGACAATGTCAGGAAGAAAGGTGACGGTCTCCTGTGGACCGTCACCTTTCTTCCTGACAAATTCAAAGAACATGATGAAGGTCTCCTGTGGAAGGAGAGACAATGTCACAGAGCTGGGTAAAGAAGACCTTCAATCTCACAGTGCAGTGTGAGGGTCAGCAATGTCACAGAGCGGGCTGAGTGTCTCCTGTGGGGGTGTGTATCGTACAGGAGGTGTGTATAGGTTTGCACACACAGCACGGGCCGCCCCGTGTTTCCTCCCCTCCTCCTCATGACTACAGCCCATGTGAGGCCTGTGTACACACATCGGGGAATGGGCGCTCTGTTAGTCCTGTCCTGGTCACTGTGTGTATCGCCGAGCTACAGACAGGCTCCCCCTCTTCCCCCCCCGCCTCTCTCCGCCGCCAGCCATGCGCGATTACGATGAGGTGACCTCTTTCCTGGGAGAATGGGGTCCCTTCCAGCTGACCATCTTCTTCCTGCTCAGCGCCAGCATCGTCCCCAATGGCTTCACCGGGCTGTCCGCCGTCTTCCTGACCGCCACCCCTGAACACCGGTGCAGTGTGCCGGACAGTGCCAACCTGAGCCTGGCTTGGAGGAATGTCAGCATCCCCTGGGAAGAGAAGGATGGAGTTCTGGTACAGAGCAGGTGCTGGAGGTACAAGCTAGACACCCTGAGGAGCTTCTCTGATCAGGGACTCCTTCCTGGGCTGCATGTCAATGTCAGTGACTTGGAGAAGGAGAAGTGCCTGGATGGATGGGACTATGACAGGGACATCTATCACTCCACTATTGTCACTGAGGTAAGTGATGAACACACAGATCTCTTCCTGACTCACACATATACAATGCAATGCTATATCTGTCTGTGGTGTCAGGTGTCACATCTCCTCCACCAATAAGGGGCCTTGTACATGGACGCTAACACTGCAGCGTTTTGGTTGTTTTTGTTTACGGTTCTGAACGCAGTGATTTGTTTTCTAGTAGTCAATACACAGCGTGGGAAAGTTGTCAAAATCTGGAGCAGTTGCCATGGCAACCAATCCACTTCTTTATTTCATTTCCAAATCTTCACTAAACAAACTGAAGAGAGAAGCTGATCGGTTGCCATGGGCAACTGCTCCATATTTTGTCTGCTCCAGTTTTGATAAAAATCCCTCAACAGTGTTTAAAGATCAGTAAGTACCCGTTCACACTTGCTGTGCGCGTGACAGTTTGCACATTGGTGCACGTTCATGCAACAAGGTTAAAAACGTATGATGCGATTGCAGCGCCGTTACTTGTTAATGCCACCCCAAACGTGGCAAGTAAAGCGCATGGTCAAAAAACACATGACGTTCCCAGCCAAAACTGCTGCATGAACATCTTTGCAGCGCGTGGGGCAGCCCATTAAAATGAACGGCTTGTGCTTGGTAACGTGCGCCCCAAGTGTGAACAGGGCCTTAAATTGAGCTCCATTTAGATCCGTAAACCACAAGTTTTCATCCATGGTTAGTCATTTATGCATGTATGCATCAATTCCCCGTGTAAGCACATGCACATGTGTACTCCTGTATGTGCGTACACGTAAATGTAGTGGGAACAGAGCATTCTGAGAGTAGAATGTTACAATGGATGTGCACATGCGGACGTTTAATACGCCTATACACATGTAAACACCAGACTTTGCATGCGTTTTTTATGCAGGATCTTTCTGCCAGTCATTTATTACGTCCTTATGCAAGGACCCCAAACATAGGTGGACAAATAAATATGGAATTCAGGAGCCTGTCTGTCCAATCCAGGAGCCAGTAGGACTTTTTTTTCTAGGACCCAGCTCCATTGACAACAACCTCAAGAGAAAACCTCAAAAGCTGTGCGACAGTTGTCATTTGCAAGGCGCACTGGCTACCTGGCCCCTAGGATTTGTCCAGGCTTGGTGTGAAACATAGTAATATCCTTCAGTAACAATAAATAGGATGTATAAAGAACGAAGCAAATCATTACAGTCTGAGGATATGGTTTTGGAAAGACAGTAAACAAACCGAATCTGAGTACAGCTGGCTTAACCCCTTCATGACTGAGGCCTTTTTTCCATTTTTTGCACCCATGTTACATTCCACATTTTAGGCCTGAAAATTACTTAAAACCCCCAAACATTATATATTTTCTGAATGCCAAGACCCTATAATATAAAATGGTGGTAGTTGCAAATTTTTATGTAGCGCAATATTAGCGCAACTCCTTATTAAACCCCAAAATTTATTGACAAATTTAAATAAATGCCCCAGAACACAATAAAATACCCATTTTTTAAAATGACATATAAAAGATGAGGTTATAACGAGTAAAACGATACCCAACATGCCCAGTTTACAAATTGCGTGCATCCGTGAAACGGCGAATAACTGCAGTACCCCAAAAAGTCCATAGAAGACGCTTTAAAAGCCCCCACAGGTCATCAATTTAGAGATACCCCAAAATACTGGCCCTAGAATTATTGCTCTCCGGCGTGCGCGGCGATACCCAACATGTGTAGCGCGTTCGTCGTTTTCATACGTAGGTGCACCTGATGCGTGTTTACGTGGCGACGCGTGTGCTTGCGGGGGCGGGGCTCCCTTCTTCGGGACACAGAAGCGATCTGGCGACAGGTAAGTCGCCAGAATCGCTTCTGTTGTAAAGCCGACAGTCGGCTCTACAAGTTAAAAACAGGGTCCCGGCGGTAAAGTCGCCGGGAGTCTGTTTAAACAGCCCCGATGCTGGCGACGTACACTGTACGTCGTCAGTCACGAAGGGGTTAATAAGGTGATGAGTGCATCTCTGGGCAAAGTACACTTCATTTCGACATTTGCAAACATACAGTAAAGTCCTAGTTATCCACCACCCACGGGTATTGGTAGGTGCCGGATAACTGTAATTTCTGGTTGCTTGAGAGTTAATAGTAACTCTCAAGCAACCCCCCTGCGCTCTCCTCCATGCTGGGAGGAGGGCGCAGCAAGCGGTGGGCGGGTGCATTAGCCAGCCTGCTATTGGCTCTTGCAATTTGAAATGGCCTATAGCAGGCTGTGTCTTTCAGCAGCCCACTACCTGCTGTATTTACATTCAGTTGGAGTCTGTGGAATCTTGCCACTGGCAGCCGTGATGGCTGAAGATATGCAGGCACCATGTGCTTACAACACAATTTTTTTTTTTTTAAAAGGTGGGAAAAAAGTAGTTTTTAGTTTCAGCCTGACAAATTTTGCTGCGGGAGGTGCGGTGCAGTGCCATGCATTTCAATGGCACCCCAAACGCGCCTCCCACCCACAGTGCGATCGCCCGCACTGGAACGTACGGTACCACAATGCTGTGCATTCCAATGCAGTGCGATTGCAAAAAATTGTACATGTAGTTTTATTCTGAAGTAAACTTTATGTTTGTAACATTGCATTTGTGTATTTTTTTTTTTTTTTAAATCCAATTAATCGAAAAAATAATGGGCCAACAAATCAATGATGAAAATAATCATTAGTTGCAGCCCTATGTTATACATGTTTAGATTTCTCCCATCAGGCTGCAAGAGAGAAATCACTCAATTCCCACAACCACCCTAAACATCGTGAATGGAGGAATGTATACTGCTGAACTGTCATTAAACAATGACAACGGGGCGGAGCCGGCCGTGATGTCACGGCCGGCTCTGCCCAGTTATTCATTGGCCGGGACCTGCTAGAAGACTCTAGCAGGTCCCAGCCAATAGGAAACAGTTGGGGTGAGCTAGCTGTCACTGCTAGCTCTGCCCAATTGTTTGTTTTTTTTTCTTTATTTTAAAAGAAATCTTTATTTTTTTTTAGATGTATCATTTATTTACATTTTTTAAACATTTCTTTTCTACTTTTTTTTCTTCCAACTTTTTTCATTGATTTTCTATTCTGAGAGTAGGCCAAACGGCAGTGAGTAGCCTGCCGTAGGTTTGGCTCCGCTGATCCAGATGTTGGATCGGCTGATTCGAACGTGTTCTTCAGTTCAGTTCGGCTCAGTCGAACATGCAGAGCAGCCGAGGTAAGGCTGAAATCAGCTGTACAAGCCCGAAGTGAATAGCCGAAGAGTGTGTGGGTTACTCACTCGGCTGCCTTCGACAGCTTTGTGAATAACCCCATTTTGATTGCATGTATTGTTTAGCACATATTTATTATAGAGATTGGTTTCTTTATTTGAGAGATCATTTTCCCGGGTAGTGCCTGTTACCAGCTCCCAATACCCGCTGCTACTGCGCAATCAACAGCTCCCTCTCTCAAGGGACATAGACAGACATCCAAGACTCCCAGAAGTGTAGAATGCCAAAGACATTGGTGGAGGCTGTAGCGCTGGAAAGTAGGGCCAGTAGAAAACAAGCCTGAGAAGTGAGTATTTTGTCTCTTCTTTTGCAGGGATCTACCCTTTTTAAAGGAGAACTATGAGGTGAGTGCTTTTCACTCACCTCATAGTTCTAGCCGACCTGTGACAATGAGACTGTCACAGGTCGGCTCAGTAGATCGGGAGGTGAGCGAACACATACCGGCATTCGCTCACTTCTCGATCCTGTCACGGCTCTCTGCCGTGACAGGGGAGGGGCTGGATTCCCCCCTCCCCGCTCCGATCCGCCAGTCAGCGCTGACTGGCGGATCGGACAGGGGGAGGGGGTGGGTACAGCTGGCTCTGCCTCTAGATAGGCAGAGCCAGCTGTCAGTCACGCAGCTGGGTGGATCCCGACACAATTGTCGGGATCTGCTTCAGCTGCGGCGTCTCAGTATACCGTGAGCTACAGCTCGCGGTATACTGAGCCTAGGGTGAGGGGAGGACGCTAGTTTGTGTCCTCCAGTTACCCTAAGGAGAACTATGGGGAAAAGCCCTAACCCCATTGTTCTCCTTGAATTCTTTAAAACCTGGTAGGATCTTAAGTATTAGGGCCAGGTTAAACATTAGGCATAAGTTAGAGGTTGGGGACATTCAGGGACATTTGAGGACTGAAAGCTGCACTCCAGGAACTACAGTGGTACCTTGTTTCACGAACTTAATGCGTTCCGCGATTCTGGCCGCGAACCGATTTGGTTGTGAACCGAATCAAACTGTGATCAGACCGCGATCTCGAGTAGAGGAAGCCATGACCATGTGTCAGAGCAAGGAAAATGGCTGCGGTTGCGTTCGTCACCCGAAGCAGAGTTCGTGAACGGAGGCAACATTTTGCCGAACTTCCTGTTCGCGAACAGAGGCGTTCGTGAACCGAGGTACCACTGTACTGTGATGGACTTCTGGCCGTTTTTGTAGCTGCACGAACCTACAATAATGCTTCTAAAATTGTTAGAATAAATAGTTGGCGAGGAGCATTTTATTTCTATAAAACTTAATTGTATAATGATTAGTAGCTACGTCATCATTTTCCAGTTGCACTGCTGCAGGTAAAAAAGTATTTTTTGACTTCCTTTATAACTGCAATTTTATACTCACTTAAACAAGATTATAAAACAGCATTGCACAGGGTCTTATGCAACAGGGACAATGGTGCCAAATTGACACTAACCTGGAAAATTCCTAAAAATACTACCGTACTACATATCTATCTATTATTCAGAACAAATAAAGGTAAATGTACCTTGCCAAACAAAGAACAGGACTTGAAGAACTGAGATGCACCTCTGTTGTTCTGGACTATCACTCATTTTTGTTATTCATGTAGTAGGGGTTACCTTTGCTGTCATTTGTTACAGTGCTATCAGTCAACTGACATCTGGTGGAGAATGACATTGTGTTGTGATGACCCTGGATACAGCATTAGTGATTTGAAGGAAATGCCACCCTGACAGCATTT